GCCTACCTTTTGTTTTTCAGGTGAGCTGAATTTGAGGGGCATGTATATAGAGACTTGTGGAAGTAGGTGCTTCATTTTGTCCGTTGCTCTTTTCTTCTTTTTTCATCATTAAAGCGAGAAATTTGTTTCACTTTCAGTGTAAAGAAAACATATAATTTGAGACCAGCAGTTGGCGGCCAGATCCCACATGGTCAACTGTCTGGGTTGAGTCCTGGACCAGAGGCTTGAAAAACACCCGGTGTGTGTGCAAGTGTGTCTAAAATCTCAAGAGGAGAATGAATGCAAGTCAAAGGATCGTAGCTGCCCTCCCCCCAGGGGTGATTTCTCACTTTTCCTTGCTCTCCCTGGGAGAGTACCCACATCTTCTAACAAACTTAATAATAATAATCAAATAACAAACAAAACATTAAAGCCTTGGGAGATGTGCAGAGTAAAAATTAGATGTACAGTAAAATTGCACAGTAGTGGCTAAATTAATTTCCCCCAAAATAATTTTGTTTATATCTAATCTTAAAAGGTCCAGGCCATCAATCTAGGCACTGTTGTACAATTTTACTGTACATCTACTTTTTACTCTGCACATCTCCCAAAGCTATTTTCAGAAACTCTAGCCTCAAATATTAGCTCATTCAAAGTTAAGTTTTTTATTTAAAACAGTCTAAATTAAACTTTTGAAACCATTGGGAACAGACTAGGAAAATTACATCAGATAGTAAGGGTGACATAAATGTTGCTTACCTCATTTTCTCTTTAGCAATGTCATTATGTTGCTTTCCTACCAAATTGTTAATATATATATATATATATAGTGTATATATTTATATGAATATGTGTGTGCCATCTCCCAGAATAAAAGCTGATACAGGCTTAGATAATTATTTTTTGCTTTCTTATAAACTTGATTATGATAAACATTTTGGGGGGGGGAGGTTTTTGCTATAGGGTGTGTGTGTGTGTGCTCACCAAAAAGACAGAGAGATAGAAAGAAATCACCCCCCAGGGGGGATGGCCATGCTGCAATCCCTTCTCATCCATTCTCCTCTTGGGATGTTGGGCACACTTGGACACATGCCAGCTGTGAGTTTAAGCCACATGGTCCGGGACTCACACTGCGGTAAACTGCACAGGAATCCAGAGACATAGCCATTACGCCAACTACTGGTCCCTAGTATAACTTTTTAAAGAAGTATTTATTCAATTTTATTTACCATCATTATTTTTTAATTTGCTATAGGGCATGTGTGCTCACCAGAGACAAATGGGGGTGGAGAGTGAAAAAGTGTTACCGAACTCAAATCAGGTTCACTCACCCAAGCACTATAAAACCAAGCCATAGGCACTTGGTGTGATAAAGGAAAGTACAGCTTTATTGCAA